TGCGGTCCCCCAACCCCTAAAATCCGGAAAAAGGGGGCGTGGCGTCAGCCACGCCCCCGAAAAAAATTTTTTTAAAAGGTTAATTTGAATTTTTAAAAATTTTTAAAAATTATTTTAATTATTTACAAAAATAAACAAGTCATTTGCACATTTTTATAACTCATGTAAGTAACTTTCAAAAATTTCGCGACCCCTTCTCGGAAGGGGCGCGCGCCCCCCCCCCGCCCCCTCCCCTCGGTACGCCACTGATATATATATATATATATATATATATATATTTATATTTATATTTATATTTATATATATATATGATAAGAGATACGATATATATATATAATTTGAACAATCGCAACGCTCACTATAGTGAGAGAGCAAACCGAACTAATGCCTCTGTCCTCTATTTTTGGACTTAAATTAGCATAATTATACGCAGTGACAGATAAGCGCTTCAATCGCATGTGTGTCACGACCTTTGATTTATGCGTCTACAATTGCAAGCCAAATTGTTGTAGGCTACATTTTTGGGTGATTATTGGCCTAGGGGGTTTTTGACATACTGAACACCAACAGAACCGCCAGTCAAATATCTCAAAATATATTTCTTTGCTTTATTTATTAACATCCTCAAAATCTTTGCTTTTGTATTATGTTGATTTGATAAATGTCTTCCCACTAATTTTGACGTCAAGACGACTTCGTAAAATTTTGCGAAGTCATGAGAGACTTCATTTTCAAAAATGCCCCACAAATGTGCCGAGCCGTGGTGAAGACTTGTGATAGGGCACCGGGGCGGCGTGGCAGGAGTTCCCAAAGCCTGGCCGCTTTTCCTCGCAGGGATACTTGGCACCTTCAGAAATCCCTCGAAGGACATCACACCTTCTAGGACAAAGGGCGCCTCCGCCCATCACTACTCCCTCTAAGTGCCCTCATTTTGACTTGTGTACAGCATTATAAGACGCGGTTCATTGTACTTGAGGCTAATAGAACTGAAATCGAGAAACAAAAAAGCCAGGTTCCCATAAAGTCTAGAATCCGTAGATGACTGCAGCTGAATTTCCAGCATTTCGTGTTATGTTCTACTCATGTTTTCGGATGAAATGATGTTTCTCTAAAAAGCAAGTGCTCGCTTGAGTTATTCTTGAAGCATATAGTTATAATAGAAGTCAACAACTTAGAATGTCCCAATCACAATATATGATGGAGAAATTAGTCAATTTAAAGCAAGTTCTAAAGACCATCTAATGAGAATACGCGAACTGCAATGTTGTTTTGCAAATTTAGTGTCTTGTGTGGAATTAGCCAACCCTTCAATAATACATGCGACCGAAGTTTGGTATTCTAGTACATCGATTGTAGGACTTCCTACTTAAATTTGATTATTTTTATCTTATTGAACATTGAACTTAGAATGAGAAACTCACTCGAATATATGATGGCAGATGAAAGTAGGAAAGTATGTGTGTTCAAATGTCCCAATTGCTGGGAAAGCCTCAGGTTGGTTGTTCAAAATTTTGCTATACCCCTTTCAAAACAAGTCCTTTTAAGTTGAAAAGGTTTCACGTTCTCAGCCACTTTTGGTCACTCAGTCATTCAAATTGATGCCTTACTTCAATTAGATGATCAGTACTTCACAATAGGACAACTGGATCTTACACTGTTACGAATGATTGGGCTTCCTATTCAAAAACCTGTGTAATTTTTCTTTGAGAATAATGTTCATGCTCATTTTTGAATGATGGTGCAGCGGAAGTTTCACTTGGGAAATGATAACTATGTTCTTCGTTTTTCTTCACTTTTCTCTTTTATTACTTAATACCCGAACCCACTTAATACCCGCCGCTTACACACCTCACAATGGGAGCAGTAAATGGGTGGAGCGATGGGCGGGCCTGACCTCTGAGGTGCGGAGGTGCTAGAACCCTCCTGGGTGCGAATGCTGGTGCGAACTTGGTGCGAGGAAAGGTGCTAGGAACTCCTGCACGCCCTCCGGGCACCGACATAGGAGAGAATTTGATGGGGGGAAGTTCGCGCCGTGGCCATGAAAAGATTCGGAACATGGATTCTGTTGCTTACGCATGTTGAATAAATGTAGCAAAATGGAGAGTAAGAAAGAGTAGTAGCTTGATAGAGCACCTGCTCAAGCGAGAATTCTGAGGAAGGAACTTCAGGCATTCTGGCTATGAAAGGAATTGCGGTGTGGACTTTAATGCTTTTGCATGCTTTGGATGCAGTAGCTTTGGACATTCACGAGGAATGAGCACCGTGGAATCACCCTACTATAAAAAGAGCCAGGATGTTCACGGAGAACAGTCTGTTCTAGCATGGGAACTCTGAGAAAGTAAAATAAGGGGAAAGGGGTAAAGAGAGGGACCAGTGAGGCAAGACTCGGATGGTGAGGATTATGGGCACCCTGGCTTTGTGAGATTCCGGGAAATGGGTTTTGGTGGTTTTGCATGCATTGGCTACAAGTAGCTTACAAGGAAATGGTCAAAATTCGAAGTGGTCAATCCCAGCAAGCTGTATACCGTTGAACACTCCATGGAGGGCTGGGTAAACATCCACCTTAATTATCTGCTTCCCGGTCTCCTACACGAATGGCCCTCGACTCGGCCGTGGGGCCGCCGCGCATCATAAGTAACACAGGTGCGATAAGGCGACAGATTTGAATGTTGGCCTAGGGGGTTTTTGACATACTGAACACCAACGGAGCCTTTGGTCAAATACCTCAAAATATGTTTGCTTTTTTGTTGTATTGACAACCTCAAAATACGCTTCATTTGTTGTGTTTTGTATTGTTATATTGACTGAAAAAAGGTTTTTACTAATCTTGATTGAAGGGGACTTAGTAGAATTTGCGAAGTCATCGTGCTCGTCCTAGAAAATGCTCCAGACCAAAGCGTGCCGGGCCCTGATCGCGTCATTGTCTTTTTCCAGTTTTTCTATCAAGCTTTCTAAAAGCATAAAAGGACGAGTTTCAAAGGGCACGGATAACGCGCCCGTTCACTTCAAAAAAATTTTGGCCCCCTCAGAGGAGGAAATTTCACGGATCACCACTGTTCAATGTCGTCTTATTCAACAGCTGCAAACAATTCCCGGCACGGGGGCAAACGAACACTCGTGAAACGGACTCACTTTGCCAATTCCGATTACGAGTTCCGACTTAATCGCGCCACCTGCCTAGACCGTTCATCGGCCGTCGTCATTGCTATTTGGGACTCTAACAAAAAGAGAGGAGTTTTAAATCAAATTTTGGGCGCATAATAAAGGTGTAAAAATTGAGAAGCACTTGTGTATTGAAAACCTTATGTGATGGAAAGCGTACTTAACTCTCTTCCGAATTAGGCGGGCATATGCCCATCTAATTTGAAAGAATGTTGAGCACGAAGTTTTGCACATAATTTCATATTCTCTTCATTCCCTGCTATGCATATACATGCTAGCTTTGGAACTATATCGTTACCCGCAAATGTGCGATAGGTAGAGCTATTTCTCTGCATCTCTTCACTTTTTGGCCGGCATCTGAATGACCCCCCTACACCTGAGGCTGAGACTAGGGTCCAAGCATGAGGGCAGAATATAACACTTATGATAAAAGATGCACATTTTGCTTGGAAACACCTGCTGCTGCTGCTTCTTCTTAACCAGTGCATGAGACGACTGCAGTTTTACAGCGATTCCTGAGAAAAACGCAAAGTGAAGACTTCCTACCGCTAACAATAGCTTGGTTTTAATAACGAAATAGACCTAAAAATTTGAAAGATGTCTGATTTTCTGAATGAGCAACACTGCTCAATAAATTTACAAAGAATTATGCAAGAGCAGAAGTCTGTTTTGGCTAATGATGAATGCACGATCACTGACAAGAAATCAAACTCTATCTTCTTTCATTTAATATAATATGCTTGCCATTCACATTCGGAGCTTAGTAGAATACCGTTTTCGTTTTAAGAATGAAGCATAAGATGATCCTCAAAATACTGATATTGTAGCTAGATATACTTCCCATATGTCGCTTCGCAGAATAGCTAAAAAAAGAGACGGTCTATATATCGGCTCCTTATGCTCTTAGCTATCGAATAGTATACAAATTGTTGGTACATAACGCTTTCCCGCTCCAAAAGTCTTTTTCCGAAGATCCATGAAAGTCAAGCTATTGAATGGCGGGGTGGAGCAAGCTAATAGTATATATCTCCACCCCATTTTTGAAGAGCGAGGTTCACCTGGCAATCTATATAACATTTGATTCAACTGGCTTGGCACCATTAGGGCGGGGTTTTGTGATCTAATTGAGGCCGCTCGCGCCCGCGACGCACCTGCGTCTCTCTCGGGCGAGTGCTCTCTGATCATTACCTAGCCTTAATTAGGTCACGAAGCCCCGCCTTTGCCAATGCCAAGCCAGTTGAATCAAGTGGTACCATTACGAAGCTCACGAGAAGGGGAATCGAAGTAGATCGTCTTTTTTTTCTCTCTACTCGGGGATACATGGCAACTAAGCTGAAAACATGCGTCTTTGGAAGGACATTTTTACGGAATGAATTAATGAAGATGCTTGTTCAGATGTATTGCAGGGCAAAAATTTGAATGTGAACGTAGACCGCCTCTTTTTTATAGCTTTTCCCTTTTCAGAAATAAAGCGCAAAGTGATTGCATAGAATCTGCTGATGGTGCAGCTAGTGTTTTTTTCTGAACGCCTTGAACAAGATCATGTTTAGGCACGACAGCCGTGTAAAAACTTTTAATGGGATGTGTATGTGGCAGTGGCGTACCCAGGATTTCCGCTCGGAGAGGGGGGGGGGGCGACAAAAATTTTTTAAAACTTTTCAAAAATTATTTTAATTATTTACAAGTATAAACAAGTCACTTGCACATTTTTATAACCCATATAAGTAACTTTCAACCCCCCCCCCCCTCTCGAAAACGGGTCGCGAAATCGGTACGCCACTGGTATGTGGGTATACGTTTATTTACGATATTTGCTTTATCCACTTAAAAATTTCCAGCTTGAAATCTGTCCAACTGGTCTGGACCCTGTCCACAAATCCGGATTGGCGTTTGGACGAGTCTTCTTTCTTCTATCATTACAGTTTTGACCGCTGATGAATATGAAACTTGCATGCTATTCTTGTAACTTTTTATAACAGTACTTTTACTTATTTTACCCAGACAAAAGTGAAATCTTTAGAAGATCATAACATAATTATACATAAAAGATGAAATCTTAGAATGCCTTGAATAAAAGGATGAGGACTTTGCGGAAAAAAGGACCTGAATCGTGTGAGGTTAGATCACCTACAGAAGTAAATTATCAAGCAAGAATCGGAGAACGATAATTACGTATTACTGGCGAGCACAGCATACCCGCCGAAGACAAGGTGGACACAAATATTTACAGCAGCATTAGTGGTCAGACTACAGAAGAAATTAGAAAGCCAAAGAAATACATTCTCAAAAAATTGGGCAGGCAATTTATGCATCAACAAACCAACGCAGCCTTTTGTATTAAGTTCATCTGCATATTATCGAATATCTTCGTGAGATCCAAAAAACTCATCTGTTGTAAAACAATAAAATCATCGAGTCCTGCTCTGAAACACTTGAGTTGCAGCAGAGCGAACATAGAAAAGCACTCACCTTCTAGCACAATATACGCAATAAACGGGGAACTTCCCATTGATTTCCTTCACGAATAAGATGTTGAATACTTCAACCTGTAAACTGATTATATTGAGAATCCTATAGAAAGTACGTGCTAGACAAATAAGGCACGACTATGATCAACTTTATTGAAGCCAAAGGCAGAGGGAAAAAGTTTAACTAACATTTGATTTTTATTTAGAGTGCTCCAAAGATATGTAAAATAAAAAACTATATTCTGCGGCAGCTGTAACTTCCAGCCGGGGCCGCATTGGCCCCACGTGCCGCTAATGCAGCCAATGCAATTCTTGACTTTCATTGCGTACCAGCGGCGTTCGATGCTCAACTGAGCGGAACACGCAAACGTCGCTGGTAGGGCAGTAGCACGACATCAATAATTTCTATTTTGCCAAAACCAGTTTCGATATGAGTATTGATTGTTTTCTAGCGTTGACCAAGATGGTATTGATATTTATTGGGCCGACGTTTCGGCGTCCACGCCTTCGTCAGAGCCTGGAAAAGTCAAAGACCATTTATGATACGTCCCTCCAAACGCCTTATCTCGCTACAGAATCGATTTTTCAAGATCAGATGAAGCCAAAACGTGCATGTTAGGTCGCAAAGAGATACTCACCTCAGAGATAACGAGATTTTGCCAAAGGCCACCCGATAGTGAGGTATACTAGCCACTACGCTATTTAAGGCCTGAGGGCCCGCCAACGCAACCCGCCAACGCAAACCTCAGCTACGTAGGTCAAATTTACATAAGCTTTGGTAAGGTGCGGGCTCGTTTGTTACCGATAAGCACTCCTCTTTTCTGTTTAATTTTGGATTTCTTGCGGATATCCACAACGCCTCGAGAGTTTTGCGCGCTATAATTTCGGGTTCGTACGTCAAGATCGTGACCTTCACTTCGAACGAAACGTTGGCATGATCTTTCTGACGATGGGCTCCCAAAGGCGTAGATGATCGAGCCCATCCAAGTGTTCTTTGATACGAACTGAGAGGGATCGTCCCGTTTCTCCTATGTACTCTTCACCGCAAGAGAGACACTACTAGCAATCTCACGCGCGCTCAGAGGCTCGGTCTAAAAGAGTTGCGTGATCTTTGCTCTCACGGAGAGATCATAGTCTCGGTGAGCGATAAGGGCGGGGACTTTGTCGTCATCCCACGTGGACTAGATGTGGCTATTACGCAGCACCACCTAGAGGATGAAACTTTGTACCATCCGTCGTCTGCCAAAGAGTTCACGAGACAATACCGCCATTTGAACAAAGTCTGGATAGAGACCGCGAAAGCCGCTGATATACCCAAACATCTAATCACTCGCCTTAAATGCGATCTTCCCATCTGCCCTGTGCTGTACGTTCTAGTAAAGACACATAAGCTCGAAAACTCTCTTTTTGCCTCTATGGATGCTCGAACTTTCAAATTTAGGCCCATCATCAGTAATGTAGGAGGGCCCACGGATAGAGTTGCTTGGCTGCTCAACAAGATCCTATCGCAGGTTCTTAAACATATTCCAGCCCATCTTAACAATACTAACATGTTTCTGGAAAGATTGAGGAACTCGCGCTTCGACAGTGACTGTGTTATGGAGTCTTTTGACGTTACATCACTGTACACAAACGTCTGAAACGGAGCAGCCATGCAAGCAGTTTCTGAGCTCCTCGCGGAGCATCAAGCAACCATCAATTGGTTTGGGTTTACTCGGAATCAGATCATGACGTTGCTGGATGAGTGCCTAAACTGTAATGTATTCCGATGGGCCGGGCAGTATTACAAGCAGATAAGAGGCCTTGCCATGGGGCAGAGGCTGGCTCCGATACTAGCCGTCGCCTTCATGTCCAAGGTGGAACGGCCGATTTTGGAACGGAAACCGCTGCTTTACTACCGCTACATTGACAACTGTTTCATAGTATGCCCAACCCAAAAGGAGTTGGATACCTGCTTCGAAATCCTGAATCGACAGTCGTCAAGTATAAAATTCACCAGAGAGGAGCCCACGGAAAACTGGTTACCATTTCTTAATGTGCATGTGTATCTATCAAAAGGAGAATGGAAGACGAAATGGTATCGGAAACCCAGTAACAAGAACATCTTGGTCCACTATCTCTCTGCACATCCATGGTCCATCAAAAAGTCCGTCATCGGAAACATGTTTAGGACGGCAAGAGAAGTTGCGTCTGATACCGAAGAACGGCGGGTCTCATTGCGTCTAGCGTACTAGGTGGCAGAGCGCAATGGCTACTCTATCAAGGCTTGTTCCCAAACCCGAGCTCCAAGAGGTCAGAAGGAATCCAATTGACGGAGAACAACCTAATCCCCTTCTGCCTTCCTTATGTGTCGGAGGAGTTAAGTAGAGCTGTTAAGACATGCTTGCGTCAAGCAGGCCTACAAGATTCTGTAAGGGTTGTGGATGTCCCCCCAAAAAACCTTAAGGGATTGCTAGTACGGAACCGAGCTTATGACCGCCTCTGCATTAGCCCAAACTGTGTGATTTGCCGTTATGGAAGAGAAGGAGACTGTACCGTAACAGGAGTGGTATATCTAATCGAGTGTCTCTCTTGCGGTGAAGAGTACATAGGAGAAGGGACGATCCCTCTCAGTTCGTATCAAAGAACACTTGGATGGGCTCGATCATCTACGCCTTTGGGAGCCCATCGTCAGAAAGATCATACGTTTCGTTCGAAGTGAAGGTCACGATCTTGTCGTACGAACCCGAAATTATAGCGCGCAAAACTCTCGAGGCGTTGTGGATATCCGCAAGAAATCCAAAATTAAACAGAAAAGAGGAGTGCTTATCGGTAACAAACGAGCTCGCACCTTACCAAAGCTTATGTAAATTTGAGTTTCTACGTAGCTGAGGTTTGCGTTGGCGGGTTGCGTTGGCGGGCCCTCAGGCCTTAAATAGCGTAGTAGCTAGTATACCTCACTATCGGGTGGCCTTTGGCAAAATCTCGTTATCTCTGAGGGGAGTATCTCTTTGCGACCTAACATGCACGTTTTGGCTTCATCTGATCTTGAAAAATCGATTCTGTAGCGAGATGAGGCGTTGGGAGGGACGTATCATAAATGGTCTTTGACTTTTCCAGGCTCTGACGAAGGCGTGGACGCCGAAACGTCGGCCCAATAAATATCAATACCATCTTGGTCAACGCTAGAAAACAATCACTACTCATATCAAGGACCATGCCAAGATTTAAAGAAGGTTGAACCATCGCATTATTACGACAAAAACCAGTTTCGACCAGACCGACCACCACCGACCAGTTTAGACTCCATGGAACCAAAATCGAGGGATCAGTGACCCCTACAACACTCAACTGAGATGCTATCGGGTCAACTCGATAGAAACACAACATATTCTTAGTCCCTGTCGAGAAACAAGAAGTTGTTAATCAGCTACATAAGAGCTGAGGCAGCTCAGTTATTGCTGTGTATCCCATGCAGATATTGCTTGCGCTTACAGCTTGGGGTAATTACGCAGCTTGTGATAAGACGCCGCTTGCCTGCTTGCGTTGATAGGACGCAGCTCGTCGACACAACGGTACGCCGCTTGTAGAGCTACTTACGGAACGCCGCTGGTGCGTTAAGTGCAGAACATGTAAGCGGCACGTAGGACAACTTGATCGGGCAGGTTGGGGTAATCCTTCTTCTGCTTTCAGACAGGCAAGCGTGGAGTAACCTCGTGCTGGTGCTTTCGTTTATCTTTGACCAGCCTTGCTTTTGCTTGTGTAACTGGGTCCCGTTGATGCTTTCAAATAGATGATATCGGTCTGTAAGCGGCACGTAGGGCAACTTGATCGGGCAGGAGAACACATTTTTGTACCTTTTGAGGCAAATCGTATAATTGAACCTTAAGTGACGTAGGCAATGTGATATTACGTTGTGAGTCTTGATTTCGTTATAGGAGAGTAAGGTCGGTTTTTCTTATGAACACAATCTTCAAGCGGCACGTAGGGCATACTCTTTCTTTCAAACAGATGATATCGGCACGTAGGGCAATTCGACAAGGCAAAGAAACAAATTTTTATATCTTTAGGCGGATTTTTATAATTGACGGTCCTTAGGTAGAACGTAGGACAATTTGAGGATCGCTCAAAAAATGGTTGATTACATCTGCCTAGACCTCGCCAAATGTAGTGACAGAACAGCGCAAGAGAATCCAGTAGTCATCGTTCAGAGATGGGGTCTCTTTTTGTAGTAAAATTTCATATTTTCAATTTGACGAAATCCCAACTTGGCTTTTTGACAAGTTTTGAGAGAACTGATTTTGTTGCCGTCAAAATTGATTCTGAAAGAAAAGCTATGTTCATTGTAGTATACATTACTGTTATGGAAATTCTCCTTTAAAACGATGTGTATTCTATCAATTTTCTAACAATCCATGAAATTTGGGAGAAAAACACGGAAGCAAATTTTTTCGAGAAGGTAGGAGGGTGGAATCTTTTCATTATCCGAATGAGTCTCCGTGAGAGGAGGGGGGGGGGATTTTGCAGAAAAGCGTGGTAATTAAATTTTCCTTTGACCTTGCGAAAGAAAATTTTCCTTAACCTCGTTGGTTATGGCAGGGCTTTCGAAAAATGCTGGATGATTTGTGAAGTTTATTGCTCCTTGAGCGGTTCTCCTTTTGAAATGCTTCTTCACAAAAATGTTTGCAGAAAGGAGTAGGAAATTTCATGTGGAGATATTTTTAGTCACAACTAAACCTAATTTTGTATCTGCCCCGACCCACTTGCTAGCGACCCGTAGGGTCGCTAGTACTTAATACTGCTTTAGTTTGTCTGTCTGTCTGTAATTTCAGAACCGATTCGGACCAAACTTGGCACAAACATACTTCGGGGGGTGGGGGGGGGGGGGTGTCATAGGCTACTTTTCGTCATCGATCGATATCCATTTTATGAATTTTCTTGCGAAATTTGAGCTACGGGCTGGGAGTTGGCACAGGGGGGGGGGGGGTAATCAAGCATGCTGATTATGCATACGATATTAGTTTTTATAATTGTCTACTTTTATCGATTTCATCGATTTTCTTGCAAAGTTTGAGCTACTCAGAAATCGCCGAGGGCAG